CAAGCAACAGAGTTCCTGGATGGGCTCAGGGCTTTCACCAGGAGGAGGTAACAGAGTCTGGACTTTCAGGGCAGAGACAACTATTCTGGAGTGGTCTCTATGCATCTTAGCTTAGCTTCCAAAGTGGGAGTCTCATAAATCTCATGTTGCTCCTATAACCACCACCAGCCTGGAGGTGCAGGTGTGCAAAACCCAGCTCACCATTCGGCTCTGAAGCTCACCTTACTCCATTCCCCAAACCCTGCCCAGCTTTAGCCTAGGATGGACGCCTCCTTCACCCCGGACTCTCATGCAGCTGTAAAGTGTGTTGGTAGACCTGAGGGGCAGTGGGCAGGGCTAGGTCCTGCAGGGCAAGCATACCATGGATCAGCAATGGGGAGAGGTGGTTCACAGACCTGGCTGGCTTACTCACCTTTGAGACTGGTCAGCCCTAGAAGTTTCTAACCAGGAAGCATTTAAGAATCTACCCAGGGCGGCAGCACAAGTGGCGATAAGGGACAAGCCAAGTTCCCTTCTTCGTGGTAAGCAGTGTCCTCCAAATGTCAAAGCCTCATCACTACTGCTCACAGCGCTCCTAACATCCCAGAACTACCCCTGGAGAACGTGGAGCAGTGGGCAGGCAGAAAGAGTTCCACAGACTCCTGGGATATGCCACTGGGTTACCATCTCGTCTCTGTACTTTGCTGATGGCCTGACCTGGCCCCTCCTCTGAATTCTCCTCTGCAAAGTGGAAAGGAAGTACACGTTATCTCCTGCATTTCCTGCAGGGTGATGGGTGGTACCGGGGGTCCTGAGATGCCAAGCCCGCATCAGCTGCACAGAATGCAGGAAGTAGGGAGTCTTCCACAACCCCGGCCAGACCAGGTCTCTATCTACCACTGTGGTGTGAGCTGATGAGAGAGTCTATGTAAGTATCAGCTCTAGGCCTCCCGGGGTCACGCCAGGCAAGCTGAGTGGAGAGAAAAGGAGTGAACCAGGAACCACACTCCCCGTCCATACAGCCGAGTCTCCAAAAAATGGATGGTTCTTTGTGATGTAGGAATCAGAACTCAATCCTCCATAGCCCCATGGGATAGAGTCCTATCCCACATGGTGCCCTGTCTCCTGCTCCACACTAGAGCCCTGGAGGTATGTGGTGTAACCACTCAGGTGGTGAGCATCCTTCGACACGGGAACCATGTTGCCAGTGTCTAGCTGCACTTGGATCCAGGGGTTCAGAGTCTCCAGGCTAGATTCTGTGCCCATTGGGGATCAAAGTCCCCTGGGCCATCAGTGGAGGAGAGAACAGAAACCCATCTCTGAAACCGGGACCCAGCACAGACCAGGGCCAGCCTACTGGGAGCCCGCCTTCTACTGTGAAGTTACACACACAATATGAGCAATTGCTGTAATTCCTCTCTAAGTGCTCTTGTTTCCCCCCAATAATTCTCGTTTCATCTCCACAATAAACATTGTTAGAACTCTCCTCTCGGCTTTAAATATACATAATTGCCCCCGGTGCCAGTAAAAGGTATTAATTCCATTTATGCATTCCATAAACTTTTAGGATAACGCAATTGATACCACAATCATGTTGGGACACCTCCTCTATTCTTCTGCTTTGCAAACCTCCGAGGGGCTGGAAAGTTTGTTCCAAATCCATTAGTGTTGACTCAGCCCCATCCTCCCCAGGAATCCCTCACGGAGGCTTTGTGCTTCCCGCCAGGGGCTGGTGGGTGGGTAGCTGCTCTTTCTCAGGATAGACAGGCAGGAAGGCAGGCAGGCAGGCAGGCAGACAGACAGGCACACACACACACACACACACACACACACACACACACACACACACACACACTGAGGCTGAGCACCACTGAAGATTACTTGGGGCCGTGTCCAAGCCATTTCATCAATGATGCTCCCAGGCCAATCAAGTCATCTGTGAACACGGCCTCACTATTGGCCCCCTCTCTAGCAAGCTAGCGGTGTCACAGCCCAGACACCACACCAGGCCAGTATTACCATCCACACGGGCCCTCTTGCCCAGCTGCAGAGCTCTCTCTCTCTGAATGCCTCCGATATTGAAGACAGCCACCTCTGTAAGCAAGACAAAGGCAATGTGAAGGGGCTGCGCTGGAGCTGGACAGCGGCTAGACGCCCATTGCGTCATGCTTGTTGGTTCCACTTCCTCCTCTGTCGAGGGACTCCTGAGACCAGGTGTCCACAATCTCACACCCAATAATAAAGCCCTCTTCTGGCCAATCCACTCGCTGCTCAGCCTTGCCTGAGGAAAGGGGCTGTCAGAACCCAAGACAGCAAGCAGGGAGACTACCATGTGTGCTTGCATGTTCATTCCTAGTTGTTGGCACGCCTGTGTTTACTGGTGTATGTGCGTGCATCTCTGGATACACATATATAGGTCCCTGAGCCCAAGTATGTTTACATCCTGTGTGCTTATAGATATATGTGTGTGCACTGCACACATCTGTGTAACGAGGTGTCCACACATATGGGACCCTGGGCACATGTACACATACGTGTGTATATACACTCATGTAGGACCATGAACTGAGGACCCAGACCTTTTACTACACAAGCAGATTTTTAGGTTGAGGGAAGCTAATTTGGGCAAGCAGATCCTCTGGGGCTGGAAAGGTGACTTCGGCAATGCCGAGGCCAAAGGCCCCATTAACAGCTGTGGTCACTTGGAGGCCAGTGAGGGTGTTTTTGCCAATCTGAGAGGAACGAAGGCAACAGTCAATATGGAATTGTACTTGAGAAAAATATGAGTTATCTATCAGTTACCAGCCAGTGGTGTGGCAGGGGCCTAGGCGCAGAAGCCTAGATGGCAAGTCTGGGCAGCGCACACACAGTTGGACCCCCAGAGCTGAGAGCAGCCGCTACCAGCCCTTCCCTAGGCATTGAGAATAGCCCTTGGGTGTCTGCTCCCAGATCGCCAAGGTGCCAAAAATCTCATTATCAATGTTGGTCCCACCTCCGCCCCCTGTGTGGCAGGGCTGGGAGGGTGCGGGAAATAGCATCCTCTTGCCCAACAACTCAGCTCTGCTGCCCTGGCATTGGGTGAAGGTTAGGTGGGGAGGCCAAGCCTTCTGTGATCCATGGCAAGTCTGGCCAGCCAGAACTGTCTCTAGTCTGAGCAAACCGCCCCATGAGGACAGAGCAAGGCAGCAGCAAACAAACCATTATGGGAGACTTAGTGCCAGACACCTCCGAAGGGGCTGCAGAGGTCCCGAGTGGAAGAAGGAAGCCAGCAGAGAGGGCGTTGCCTGCCCCTCCCAAAGACCAATGCTGACCATCTGAGGTACCCTGAACCCTCAGACATGCCAGAGACTGACCCCATTAACATCCTCAGCAAATAAGATGGAGGGGGGCAACTCTACAAGCTGCATCATCCCCAGGGTTTAGGGGACCTCCTCCAGACACCACCAGACCTCTATGACGGACCAGGTCCCCACCTCACCCCAGGTCAGGAGCTGGGCTGGACGAAGAATCTATGGTTTACCCCACCCCAGCCCAGCTACAGACACAGGAGAGACCTTTAGCAAGGGTAACAGTTCTATAGAAAAGCCAACTCAGGAGGCCACGCTGGATGGCTCCCTCATCTCCACTGCCCCAGCACTGTGCGCTATACCGGTCCCATCTCATTCGGACCCTTACCACCACCCCTCAGTCAGTGGTTGGGGAGAATGGCACACGAGAGAAACTCAGGATGAGGCACTGTTACAGTCACCCAGCCCCTTTTGACTCACTGGAGCCCGTCAGAGCCCCAGCGTTGGGCTGAGCCATCAGTTAACCATGGACCAGACGCTGGGGAGCCCACCAAGAGCAGTAGCCAAAAGAAACTGCAGGAGGTCAAGGCCTGAGACAGACCCAGGCCAACTAGACTGATCTGCGGCCACATACAGGGCTGGCTCTGTCCAGCTCTTCAGTCTCCAGAGAGAAGGTGAAAGCCGCACCAGTGGGACTAAGGTTTTGGAGAGGAGCCTTGGGAGGGGCCTTGCTCCCGTTGAGAAGGGGAGGTGAGACAAAGCTTGCACCGCAGAGACGGCCCCAACCCCAACTCCAGCTACAGAGGATGGATGCTGCTGCTCAGTGGACAACTGGACGACCCAGTATCCCTCCGTGCACCTCCTACTGGCCCAGCAGGTGCAGGGTTCCCTCTTCCCCACTGGAAGGGCCTGGGGCTGCCCTTCTAGACCCAATGCCTCGTATGCCCCGCACATCCAGACAGTGTCCCAAAGGTCTCACTCTGCTTCTCCTGCAGCCCTTGCTCCCAGAGGCAGTCTGGATGCTCAATGGTTAAGAAGGCTCATGGCAGTGACCCCTGAACCCCAACTCCAGCACCTACTTACTAGTTGCACAACTCTGAGCAGGCTGCTTCCCTTCTCACACCTCAGCTTCCCTGGCTATGCAATGGGGACAAGATCAGACTCCACCGTGGGCAAGTCAAAGCACTTAGCTGGCTACCCAACTCGCAGCCAGTGTGCAGGGGGTGGATTTTGACAACATCAGCTAATTCCCAGCCACAAACCAGACTGTTTCTAGAGACGTCAGAGAAAGGACCAGAGCTCCCGGCACTGTGCTTACACTCCTGGAGAGCCGGTCCACAACCAGCAAGCGACCAAGCCACCTGGAGGAGGTAGTCCCCAAAGGATCATGTGGGCCCCCAAGACTCAGCAGAGGTGCGGAACTCAGCTCAGGATAGATTCCAAGGCACTGAGCACAAAAAAGCTGGCCAGTCTCCCTGCCCCATGGATCTCATTGATTGCAACACTCCTGACCTTTCTGGACCCATGGGAGGCTGGCTGACTCTGGCCACACGTCCGAGGAGTGGGCACACCCACACTGCCAGAACCCGCCTCCTGCTTGATGCTCCTCCTGGCTCTGGCCAGGTGGGAACCCCATGTGGACAGCATGTGTGCTCAGAAAGACCTCCGTGCCAGGGCTGTGGTATTCCACCCTGCTGCCCTCCCTCCAGATGCCCACTGACCATGGCTACTCACCGTCCAGGTGGCTGACTTGGCTGTGCTGGACTGCTGGAAGGTGACCTCGAAGTGGTGGGGGCCAGGGTAGTCAGTGTTGGAAGGGATGACAGGCGCTGGAGACATGGTGTCGAAAGTGGAGCTGGGCTGCGCGTAGGGCGAGTGGGTGGGTGCGCTGGCAGCGTGCTCTGGGGTGTAGGGGCTGGCCGGGGCCGCGCGGCTGCCCATCTGGTCCATGGCGCTGCTGAGCAAATTGAACTGGGCCTGGCAAGGAAGGGGGAGGAGGGAGGGGAGAAACAAGGGCTAAGGTGGAAGCCCCAGCTCCAGCTCCTGTCCCGTTGGGGAGGTGTCTTGTTACAGAAGCCTTAAAGGGCCAGCCGGCTCCAAGTCATCCCAAATATTTCCTGGGGCCCCCACCCCACCCCAACAGGTCACTACTTGTGTTGGGATAAACGCATATTCACCTCTCCCGCCTGCCCCCTCCGTCTGCCTCCCGGGTGCCAGGGCTTCTGGGGATCCACCCAGCTGCCAGCAAGGTGGATTGGGGCTTTGTACACCTACCTGGAGGGGAGCTATTTGGTTGGGAAGGTTCCCAACCCAAGACCCTGGTGGGCTCCACTGTGTTCCTGGGGCAGCACAGGGGCTGGAGGGCCACAAAGATCAAAGTTCTGGGAGCCTGTAGCCTGGCTGCAAGGGTGGGGATGCACTGGGTTTTAGAGCATGGGTACCCTGAAGTCCTGCAAGGCCAGATGTGACTAGGTCCAGCCCTCTGAATGATGGACAGAGGTGAGGCTGCCATCAGTCCCCAGAGGTCCCAACAGCCATTTCAAAGGAATTTCTTTAGGCCTTGGCTTTATCTCCATTACAATGAGTTCCCCACTCCTCCAGGTCCGGGCAGCTCCTCCAAGAACCCTTGCTGGTTCTCTAAGAAAGCCCAGGCTGTCCAGCCCTTCCCCTGAATCAACTACCCCACTGGCCCAGGAACTTTAGGGAGGCCCCACCTTCCTGCCATGGTGTCTCAACAGCTATCAACTGGAAGACTGGAAGACGACCCTGTCCACATCAAAAGGCATCACAACAAGAAGGATTTGAGAGGATAGTACCAATGGCGGATGCTGGTCAGAGTGGGTCCCAAATTGAGTTGCTTAATTGATCCTCTCTGCGCTGGTGAGCTTTCCTGCAAACTCAGATGGACCTCCACCAGCCTGAGGTGGGTACTGCATCTGTTCCCACTTCACAGACGAGGACCCCAAGACTCCGAGGGGGAAATGACTGGCTCCAGTTAGCCAGCACATAACAGACTGGATAGACGGTGAAGAAAGGGGATCACAGTACAAAGTGCCCCCCTTTACCCCGCTGCCCTCTTCAGAGAGGCCTCTGGACCTGGCTGGAGTCTTGTCTTCTATGTCCCCTCCCACTAGCGTACTGCAATAGGTGTTCCCAGACAACACGGCTCCAGACCCCAGGTTTCCCTTCTCGTGGGGACCTTGTGTTCAGCCCCTCCTGTCCCTCAGTCCTCACACGGGGGGGGGGCAGTTGTACAAAGTGACCGGCAATGCCAAGGCCCCAATGGTCCACTGTGAGTCCTTGATTGACAATTCAAGTGTCCTTGAGAACACCAGACTGAAGATAACACAGGAGGGAGGGTCCTACAAAAAGGCTGCCTAGCAGGAGGAGGATCAGCTCAGAGGACAGATCAGAGGAGGAAACTCAGGAGACAAGGGGCCAGAGACGCGTTCTAATTTGTTTGTTTGTTTTTAAGATTTGTTTACTTCTTGATTGACTGATTGGTTTTTCAAGACAGGGCTTCTCTATGTGGCCCTGGCTGTCCCAGAACTAGCTCTATAGACCAGTATGGCCTTGAACTCACCGAGATCCTCCTGCATCTGCCTCCTGAGTGCTGGGATTAAAGACATGAGCTGCCACCTCCCAGCTCTAGATAGGTTTTTTTGTGTTATGTGTATGAGTGTTTTCCTGGGTGTGTGTTGCACACCCCATGTGGAAGCAGGCCAGCATGATGTCACCCTACCCCTGAGTGATACTGAAATGATGATATTCTAAAGAGAGACTCGTGCCTCTCAGTCAGTCAGAACAGTAAAATAATGGACCCCAAAGAAATGGGAATTTCTCCTCGCACCTCCCACCTCCCCAACACAAGAATCTTGTGGTGGGAGAAGGAGAAGGCCTCAAGACTGCTTGTCGCTCAGAAAAAGATTTCACATAAGCTTGCCCCCACTGAGGCTGAAGATTAGTGAGAGCTGGGTCGCACCCTGACCAGGATGCTCAGATATGCACATTCCTGGCCCTCTAGTTAAATTTTGATTTCATTTTGGACCCTGAAGCCAAACTTTAGTGGCCCTCTTTGTCCTGCTTGCCAGTGTGGCCACATTGAATAAACTTTTCCTGTCTTCATTTGACTTCTTCAGTTGGCTTCTTGTGTATGGGTGGCCAAACCTGGCTCAGGATACATGGTGTAACCCCAAGTTCAACAACAAAGAGGGCATCAAATCCCCTGGAACTGGAGTTACAGGTGGTCGTGAGTTGATGTGTGGGTACTGGGAACCAAATCTGTGTCCTCTACAAGGGAAGCAAGTGCTCCTAACCACTGAGCCATCTCTCCAGAACCAAGTTCTGTCTCTCACCGAAACTGTGGCCTCCAAGGGAAGCAAGTGCTCCTAACCACTAAACCATCTCTCCAGAACCAAGTTCTGTCTCTTGCCGGAACTGTGGCCTCCAAGGGAAGCAAGTGCTCCTAAACACTGAGCTATCTCTCCAGAACCAAGTTCTGTCTCTTGCTGGAACTGTGGCCTCTGCACCCTGAGACTGAGGGCCAATCAGAGACCACCAGCTCTGGGACACTGGGGCAGCCAGCTGCTGCCACGCAGAGCAGATCTGAGCAAACCTGAGCTGAGCCAATGTCTAAGCCCCACCTTCTCCCCAGTATGCAAGGCCCTACTGGACTTGGATGGATAGACCTTGGCAGGGGGATCCGTTTCCATAGTAAAAAAACCATCTATCCACAGAGGGGCTGAGTCCAGACTCAGACCACTACATCCTCTCTAGTCCTGGGCAGGCTCCCGAACCTTCTCAACTTCCTGTACCATAGGACACTAGCCCCTTCACCCCTACTCCAGACAAGTGGACAAAGGAGTCAGAAGAGCACTGGCAATGAGGACTGTGATGACATCATAGGATTGTGATGACATAGCACTGTGACGACACCATAGGGCTGTGATGACATAGGACTGTGATGACATCATAGGACTGTGATAACAGCATAGGACTGTGACGACATCATAGGACTGTGACGACATCATAGGGCTGTGATGACATCATAGGACTGTGATAACATTATAGGTCTGTGATGACATCATAGGGCTGTGATGACATAGCACTGTGGTGACACCATAGGACTGTGATGACATAGGACTGTGGTGACATCATAGGACTGTGATAACGTTATAGGACTGTGATGACATCATAGGACTGTGATGACATCATAGGGCTGTGATGACATCATAGGACTGTGATAACATTATAGGACTGTGATGACATCATAGGGCTGTGATGACATAGCACTGTGGTGACACCATAGGACTGTGATGACATAGGACTGTGGTGACATCATAGGACTGTGATAACATTATAGGACTGTGATGAAATCATAGGGCTGTGATGACATCATAGGACTGTGACGACATAGGACTGTGACAATGTTGCGAGCCTGTGGGTGAAACTCTGAACCTTGTTCCCAGCAGACAACCCAGTGTGACTTCATGTTGGTAAACAACGCAGAACAGGTGAAGCCAGAGAGGCAAAGCCAGAGAGGAAAATGGCAATAGACCACGGGACTGCACAGAGAGAGGTAAGAAGCTCAGGCACTGTTCCTCTCTGGCGAGGAGGAAATGTTCTGGAGGTGATGGATGCGTACATACCATCAGACTAAACACTGCTGGGTGGTACATTTTGTTATTTACTTGTTTGTTTTGTTCTTTTTAGTTTTTGGGATGTGGTCTCTTGTAGCCCAAGCTAGCCTGGAGCTCATTATATAGGAGGCTGACCTTGAACTCCTGATCCTCCTCCATCTCCCTCTGGAGTGCTGTGCTGGGATTACAGGCAGGCACCAGGGTGCCTGCTTCATACCGTGCTGAGAATTGAACCCATGGCCTCAGACACTCTAGGCAGGAAGTACTCTACCACCTGAGTTACACCCCCCACCACCATGTTTTAAATAGTAGATTGTGTGGTGTGTGAATTATACCTTAATAACACTGTCTAAAAGCAGGAAGGAACTGATCCTTACCTCCCCCAGCACCAAGACCATGTGAGGGGAGCATGGGATGTGCCAGTTGTCCCCCCTCAGAAAGAGGGGTGAAGCCTCCTATGTTGGAGTATCTAGGCTGAGGAGGCCCCATCCCATCCCAAGATCTGACAACAGATTCCTGGTAGGAAAGTCATGGTCCCGCACCTCCTGCTGGCACAGGAGTGTGGGTGGGATAGAGGCAGAACCCAGCACAGACCCCCCACCCAAGCATCCCCGTTCTCAGACTCCTCCTATAGGCTTTTGACCCCAGCCCCTACCTCCCAGCAGAAGCCTCTGCCTTAGTCTCGCCACAAACTCCACTGAGCTCAGAAGGGCTAGCCCTGGCTACAGCAGTTGGAAAATCCGGGCACTCTGAACTTTGTCCAGTCCTAATGCCTTCCACAGGAAGGTGTCACTCCTATGCCTCCCACTGAACTGTGAGTATGTGAGGACCCCACCATCCTGTGAGTTGCACTAATGGCTACAAAGTGTTTAAAGGAAAGCATCCCAACTGCAAGGACTCTATGCCAGAGAAAGAAGGCCTAGCGCCTTTCTCCTAGCTCCATGGTCACACACTGAGATGACCCTAAGTTGGCAGGAGTAACTGTCGGTTGCCTTTCCCAATTCCTTTCATCTGTTTTATGTTGCAGGCCAGGGGGCCGAACCCAGACTTCACGCAGGCAAACACTCCATCCCCGAGTCACAGCTCCGGCCCTCTTCACTGTGTGAATGCAGTTGTTGAAGTCCAGAAATCCACACGTGGTTCACATTGTACACGTGTCCCGCAGCACTCGTGAGCCATCCGGCCCAGGAACCCCATGGATGCCTTAACATAAAGCCCTTTACAGACAATGGCATAGCACTTACATGGAGCCTACACATCCCCTGGCTGGCTAACAAAACCTAACACGTGGTATCTGCCATGTAGCCATTAGACTGCCCCGCTTAAGGGATGAAGAGT